ACCATGAATACTTGATCGTTCTACAATGGTGGCATTTGATAGCCTCTTAACATTTCCCACAAGAAGGGTTGAATTTAGAGAGACTGCGATCATTATGGACATTTTAAACAGCTATAGAATATGCATTGAGTTTTACTGAGTTGAGAGAAGCGACAAGAGGGTTGGTTTTCAATATCATTGACGGGTTATGTTTCAAAAGTGAAAATTATTATTTAAATTTGTAAAGGTGTTTAATGAGAAATTGGTTGTATGGTTTATTAGCATTTAAATTATCATATATACTGCATTTTGTTGCAATATAAAATGATTTACTACCAATTGATGTCTTTCTTTTGAGGGGGAAAATCATCCAATGGCTTCTCCCGCCTAGGCGAAGCGAGAGGGAGTGTCAGACTCCTACTGACTAAATTCCACCCCGTTCATACTACAAAACAATTGATGTCTTGGCTTGACATCTTGAAAGAAAGGGCTTTTGTTTCAAATTCAAATTTAAATTGTTAAACATGTAGTCGTTGTTTTGTAAAAAAGCTTCCCTCTTATAATTTTGTTGTTATAACAAAACTCTCAAACCAACTTCATCCCTGTTCCATCCCTCAGGGAACAGACGCGTGATATAATTTATGAAAAGACCCCTTTCACTGACGTGTGGAAATTAACAAAATACTCATCAAAATCCCGAATAACACGTTTTGGACCTCAATTTTAAAGCTGTTCATAAACTTCAAACGGCGTCGCGTTCGTATAATCAGAAACACTCGAGATTTAATAACGGTGACATGTAAACAATCCTTGGCATTGTGTTTACACGACGACGCGACGGTATTTCATAAAATGAAACAATACCCCTGTTTGTAAATTTTACGGCGAGATTTTTCCCCGTTTATATCTAGCTATGTATGTATGTACGTTACGTGTTATTTTGATATGACTGTTGATGTGAGTTCGGCAAACATTTGGTGATGAATTTTATGATAAATTCGCATATGTATGTATTAAGTAGCATTTTTTTAATAATCGGTACACGTTATTTTGCATATAAAATATAAACTATGCCACCTTCTTTTATGCCTTTAAAGAAACATTGATTGTTCAAATTCAAATTCTTTTATTGCATATCATGTGTACAATTGGTGTTACATGGGGTACAGTTTCAACATGAAACCCGGCTAGGGCACGGCAACATATAGAGCAAAATATAATCTAGTTAAAATAATACTAATACTTCTTTCTTATGGAACCAGTGTCAACACGCACAAAATTGAGTGTGTAGAAAGATTCAAAATGCCTGGATGAAATGGTGCACAAAGATTAGGTAACAGCTTTACTTAAAATTCAATTTAAGTCAAGGAAAAGGAAACCTCATAAGCCCTCAAAATTCAAGGCGATTTTTGGGCTTACAAAACAAATTACACGGAAGATGACAAAATACACAGAAGACAGAATACGATGTCACCTGATTATTTCTCCACCAAAATGGTGCAGGGTTTTAAAAGGAAATGGACTCATTTTTGTTTAGTTATGCCTATTGCTATTGGGGATTTTGCCATTAAGAAGTGCTCTTTATTTGTATAGATAAGAGTAGCGTTACAAATAAATTCGATCGATCGAAAGTCATAAGGGCTAATAAGGGCAAAGAAATTTGCCTTATTAGCCCTTATGACTTTCGATCTCCGGCTACCGTAAGCGCGGGCCTGCGGACAGCGAGCATGGGTGACTCGCCGCCCGACCAGAACCAGGCCCGAGCGTACGGCGCGTCGCGTTCCGCGCGCGCCTCAAGGAGCTATCAGACCACCACAGATGGTGCCCAACAGAGCTGATGCCGATACGGAGCCGCGGAAGATTTAACGGGTTGCCGGGGCTCCGGCTCGAAGTTCAGGAGTAGGAACGGGGTGGTTTTTAGTCAGTAAGAGTCTGACACTCCAGTCTCACCCGGGCGGAAGAAGTTCTCAAAAAAAAGCCCTTATGACTTTATATAAGCAACTAGCCAAAAGTATTTAGGTTTCATTTGAGTTTACCCCTGCACGTTTACCTTTAACTCGTCGAGTACCGGTTTTATAGACACAATTAAAGAACAATAGGTCGCGGTCACCGGTGACCGCTTGGTGTTTGACAGTTTAAAGACCAGTTAAGCATTGTAATGTTTTTAAATGGAACGTTTTTAGATTTTTTTAAATTTCGTTCCTATTGATAGAACATACATACATGCATAACAAAACTTATAGGTATGTTCGAACGAGCACATAAATATTTAAATTTTATCGCCTCAAAGGGATTGATGGGGCGTCCAACATCTATAAACCATGAAGATCCAGGTTTTCTCGAAACCCATAAACTTTTATGGAGCGTGATTATTTAATGGACATCTCTTTTCCTTCAGATGTCATAAATATCACATGTTTTAAAGATTGGCAAGTGCCCATTCGTTAAAACTAAAGAGCACGTTGCGAAGTACGTTACCTAAGTTTGTAACACATAACGTCACGCCTTCCATCCCCGAAGGGATAGGCAGAAGTGCACATTACGGCACTTGATGCCACTGTATAATGTAACACCCACTTTATACTATTTATGGTATGAGTTCGATGTAATAGGGGGTGAGTCTATTGCTATATACCGGGCACAATTTCAGACTCCTTGCTATAACTGAGATTTTTTTTAAACCAAGTAGTACTTTGCCCGGCCCGGTAATCAAACGTGAAACTCCCTGTTCAGTATTTGCATTTGCGATCATTCGGCCAACTAGGCAGTCGACAACCTAAGTTTGTAGACAAGGTAATTCCTAAAGAAACATTAAAAAAATATGTCAGTAGCGTAGTGGTTCAATTTTGTTCAAAAATTGTATGCTTTATACTTGCTTTTATATCAAAAAGTGCCAATAACATGCCAGCTATGAATTCGGATTTGATTGGAACCAAACCTTTCTGTTTTATTTGTCGACGTTTCAATGCAATCTGTGGATCACATACAGCGATAACATGCCCAGTTATGTTGAATTGAATCCATATCAAATTGGCGTTAATCCTCTTGTTCATGTCACAAAAAATGAGAAATAAAAACACGAAATGCTAGTTCACTTTATATTTCTCAGTAATTGAATTTAATGTATGTGTGTAGATAACAGATAAATGTTTAAGGGTCGATTTTTCAATAATCAGTTAATTCTTGACTGTAGAATAAAATTGACAGTTGACAGTTTTTAAAAGAAGAATTGTCAAATGTTGATAGTTATTCCTCAGTTAAAATTTATCTGAGCATTGAAAAATCGGCCCTTAAAATTCTTAAACAGTGTTTTGAGTTTAAGTATAACATTCTTTTATTTCAAAAAGTTTAAGGATTTAACTGCCAACAAAAACTATTAAAGGCTAATCCTCCGCTAGCGTCGGACATCATTGTCCGACACGGCATCCAATGTATTCAATCCAATCCAAAACGATTTCCACAGACACAACATTTTCGAAAAGTGGTCCTTATGTTCGCATTTGTGTTTAATTAATTAAGTATGTGTGTTAATCGAAAACACACATTATCTGTTCCTATACACCTACAGTAGACATTTACATGTGTCCAAATCCTAACGTATTTATTTAACAAATGAAATAAATGTATAGCTTACATCGGTCCTTAGTTCCGTACTTTAAAATTCCGTTCAACTATTTCTTCTACATTGTTTTTATTGCACAGTAACTTGTATCTTGTACTTGACGGCACGGTTGGTGCGGTGGCTGGACAACCGACTGCCGCGCAACGTATCGCTTGTTCAATTCCCAGACGGAGCTACTCTTCGTGTGATCCACAAATTGTTGTTCCGGGTCTGTGTATAATGTGTATGTGAACTTGTATGTTTGTAAATGCACCCATGACACAGGAGAAAATCCTAGTGTTGGGCAACGTTTAAAAAAGAATATTTCGAGGTACTTTTGCTTCTTACTTTAAAACCCAATAAATTTACTTTTAACTTATTTGCTGATACTTCCCTTTAGCATAAACAACGAAACAGGAATCTCGAACAATTTGTAATGTATTTTCCTTTGGAAGCTCGTAAACGTCGGATGCAATTATTTACTTGTTTTTATTACATTTAATTAGTACCTATCGTGAGTCTCAGGTTGATATACGGGAGGTAACTTTTCTATGGAGTTTTCTCTATTCATATTAAAAGAAGGAAAAGAAAAGCGACTTATTTATTACGCTGTATATATTTTTAAGGTATTTGACAGCACTCTGTAGTGTGTAATCCAGAATTCGTTAGAGATCACGCTAGGAAATATTTGGTATATCAAGTCGTCAAAGGAAAAATTATATAAAAGAAGTTTAAAATTCAAATTCAAAAATTATTTATTTGCGTAAATAAGGTACAGATAGTTGTCATTTTCTAATAACTTAGGTCCTCTTATTTTACCTTCAACATTGGCGTGCAAAAATAATGGCTCATACCTAAGTTCACAATTGCAACTTGATACTACCAAAAATATGCACATAGTTTCTTCCAGAATTATTTAACTGAAGAAATTCAGACATGTCTCAGACAAGCCGAGCTCGGGTTTCCAGCTCGAATATAAGGAAAACCCGAATTAGACAAGACAAGAGCTTAACGGTTCTCCCGAAATTGTACATGACACGCGAAAATGTTTGTCTCTATTTCTGTAAATAGAATATTTGGGGATGATACCAAACTGGACATTTTCGTTGCAGTTTTGGGTAGTTCGAAATAGTTTGCATCCGTAGTGTAGGTTTGTTAGTATAAAACATAAAGTAAATAACACTAACATATTTTACTTTTTGAATGTTAGTTCTATTTTATCAAATGAAATAGTGTTATTTTTTCACAGAATTTTGTCCATCAAATTTTGTACATGAAAACATGAGATGAGAAAACAGACATGTATATACCATTTTTATATTATATTACAATATACCAATGTTTTATAATTATTCACTACAGGTTAGGTAATAGTGTATTTACTATTTTGACATAGGTAAATCTTTTTCTTTGTCACCAGGAGCGCCTAAGTCAAGAAGAGGTAACGCGGTTAAGCGACGTGCGGAACTTGGTGAATCAGCTGTATGAAGCGCTGAATGTTCGAGAGCACCAGATACGTAAGGAGCGGGAGCTGAAGGCACAGCTGGAGAAACTGTCCACTGAGCTGCAGCCACTGGAGGAGGTAAGGTCTTTGGTTAGTCAGAGCTTCATGAATGGTTCTCTTGAATCTGTGAGCTTCTTCCTTCTTTATTTCTATTCCGTTACAAATGTTCTTGTTGTCTAGCTTGATCTGTGTAATTATGAAATCACACATGACAAGAGACGTCCGAATTTTTAATATGTCCTTTAATAAATGGTTTGATTGATGCTAAACACTTTGAAGATGCTCTCGTAAATGGCTTTCACGATGTTTCCCTTCCTTAAGATTCTGAGACATTCGTGTCTCAGAAAATATCAATTCAATTTCAAAATATTTTGTACATTTTCTAAATTAGTTGTGTACCCACACTTTTCTCATTAAGTTTCTTCAGAAGGTATGCTACGTTACTTCTATAGTATATTACTCTTGATTTTCTCAGCACTTTTCTAACTTTTTTTGATATTGTCTTAACAAAACGATCACTACCTATTTCACTAGTCTTTTCAATTCCCTCAATAATTTCCAGAAACGTATGAGCCTGGAAGTGGAGACTACACGTCGTACATCAGCCCTCACGTGGGTGGGTCTAGGACTAATGGGCGTGCAGTTTGGTGTGCTGGCTCGTCTGACCTGGTGGGAGTACTCTTGGGACATCATGGAACCTGTCACGTACTTCGTCACCTATGGAACGGCGATGGCAGCGTATGCCTACTTCGTTTTGACTAAACAGGTGAGGTTTGAAATTAAGAATTTATTTGATCTTTTTGGTGTACTTACTTTATTGTCATTTATTGGTTATTATTATCAAAATATAATAATAATATGTCGAACGGCTGGCAATACTACAATATAGACGAAACTGATGTTATTTATCATTTTATGGATATAAAATTCGTTCCGCAAGATGTCTTCTCCAATTTTATTTAAAATGCCATAATTTGATTTCAGGAATACGTGTTACCCGATGTTAAAGATAGACAGCACCTGTTGACTCTGCACAAAAAGGCGAAAAAGATTGGACTCGACATTAATCATTACAACACTCTTAAGGATGAGGTGAGTCGACTTTAGCTAATTAGTATTTAATCTTACAGACAATAAGTCCCTTTGTTCTGAGATTCTTTTGGAGATTAATTGCCCAATTTGCCCACGTAAAACAAGACGGATGAAAAGGGACTTCATAACATTTTTTTGATTAAGCTATTAACACAATATTTAAAAAGCTAGATGCTAAACGTGACGAAGTAAAAGCCCGACCATCAGCGGCAATTCACTATAACTATGTTTATGGTGTTCTCACGTGTCCACTCTGTGGAAGAATATTTATAAACAAAGGTGGATTTTCCAGCCACATTAGAGCCCATGATAGACGCCAGTAGTCACGAAACGGTCGCCGTAGCCGAAACCGGCATGGAGGATTATTATAACACTATATTTTAATGATTACAGATAGCAAAAGTAGAAAAAGACCTCAATCGTCTCCGCGACCCTCTTCATATTCATCTGCCGAGTAACCTAGGAGGTAAAGGAGGTGGAGCTGATGACAAACGTTCCCCTCTCTCGAAAATAAAAGACATGTTGGAGGAAACCAGCAAGAAGATGAAAATCACGTAATATTGGCTCAACGTCACGCGCCTTGGTCCTAAGCGGTAAGGCGCGGTCCTTCGGTTCATTAGGGATAAATAAAAAAATAAGCTTGTTGATAAATAATTTTAAATTGCTTACTCGTGTGAGATGTAGCCCGTTGAATGTGTAAATTTATTTATTTGAATTTGGCGTTCCATTTGACAGCGTTCTTTTTTAAAGTGATGGAGCGATTTTTTTTATTTGTTAAACATTCAAATATGTAAGGAGGGTTTGACAAATATTTTTTTAAATTTTTTGACTTAATAAATAATGTCATCAACGTGTTGACATCCACACTGAAGCAGTTTGCATCCATTTGTTTGTATTATAAAGTTCGTTGTAAAGTAATAGGTACAGAAATTGTTTTCATAAACCTACAAAATGTGTCCGTACAAAAGGACCACATTGCAATGTCCCTTAAAAACCAAAGTGAAAATATTACTTCTTGCCTTACCTATTTGTCTTAGTAAAATGTACAAAACCAATTAAAAAAATGGTTCTTCGTAGGATTTTTCAATGTTAGCAAATTATTATTTTTTAAATTATGACTAGTATAATTTTAAAATTTCGCTCAGTAAATTGTTTCCTAATTTTATTCGTATTTATTATTTAAGTTACTAAAATGAATTGACGGTTTAGGTTTGAAATTGTGCAATATACTAACACAATATAATGGGTGCCAATGTATTAGATATTCAAAAAAATCAGGGGATGTTTTATATTTTAACATAGTTTTATGAAATCTAGTCTTTTAACTAATATTCACTGTATGTAGTTCGAATTTCTTAGTTTCAAAATTAATTTAACAAAAAAAAAAGCAAAAATAAAAATTGTACAGTAATTTTGTTTTCAGTATTTTGACGTTTAGAATTAGACAAAAAGGCGGAAATACAGATAAATAAAAATGTCTATGGATTCATTTTAGAAATTGTAACATTTATAATTGTTGTATTTGATGAATTTAAACCTTTTTTGTGATTATTTTTGATGTACATAATGCTACTTTCTTCATACATTTTTTGTTGAATATTGTTCTTAATTTTAAGCTTTAAAATTAATATAAAATTGCACAAATAGTTTAGTTAGTTGACCAGAGGCTTGTTAGTTTGACTGCATAATGTTGCCAGTTTGTTTTTAATTAAATTTTATTCAATAAGCTGTGTGTTTAGTAGCTAACATGTCTATAAAGTACCTACTAATTTCCCTAAATATTTACAAAATTATTATTTATTTAAGGTATTAATTTTAAGTTAATAGTGTCTTGAAATATTTGCGTTTTGAAATTAGAACGTTAGTACTGATTTATTTTTTAATTTTATAAGTGTACGCGTTATTTATTATCTATATTTTTTAGAAAACCTTCGTTTAACCTCCAAAATCTAGTTATAGTTAAGCTATATAAAAACAATTCTATATAATACGTATAGCTTATTTACCCTAGCTCATTCGTTATAAATATTTAAATAGCTTGAGCTTCATAATTTGCTGAAAATCTTATCTAAAAATGGAATATTAAATAATAAAGCGGTAGGTTAAATATTGGCTGTGAAATTAATGTGAAACAAGCATTTTTCAGTCCATGGTAACGTTTAGTACCATAATATATTAAATAGGTACATTAGACGAGTAAATAGTATCGTTAATATACGTAAATGATTTTGTAATGTATTACATCGAAGGATATTTGAACGGACTCGAGGAAATAAAATAGCGTGGCGTAAAATGTAACAAAGATAGAACGAAATCATCGTTAAAGTACGGTGAAATAAGCGGTAATTTCTTTACCATCTTAAAAAGTTATGACGTCGTAGTCATCTGAATAAGAATGAAAATAAAATCATCAGATCTGATTACTAAATATATAAGCACATGTAAGCTATGTAAAAACTGTAATTTAATATCTATCTATCTCTTCTTGACATTAGTTAGATGACAAGGATAGATATAGTTCAATAGTTCTATAAGTATAACGTTGTTCTACGGATGAAAATATTCGACCAAATATAGCGCCTAGATTACATTTTAAAGCCTTGGGCCCAATGTATGAAGGACTAATGTGAATCTTATATTGATGTCGTCAAGGTAGATTTTTGAAGTCTGTAGCTTTGCACTTTAAGGTCTAATGTTTCATCTGTAGAATCCTATCTTGCTACGAGTAATATATAGGTAGGTGACTTGATAAAAGGACATTCTGTACATGTCTATTCTAAGGTACTATTTGTGTGGAGCGTCGGAAGGTATTGTGACTTTTAAGGCCTTGTAAATTCGGTCTAAAATTCTTTGTATATAGCCCTTGTAATCGTAAGCACGCACATAAAATTATTCGCTCAATGATGGCTTCTTCTCGTGATTTGCTAATTTGCCTTTAGTCTTTTTCTATGTAATGTTTTTCTATCTATATGAATAGATTTTTATATACATCCCTAGGGTTAAGGTTCAGGAGCAAAGCTTCTGTTTATTAAATTTTATTTACTGTAGTTATTTATGATATTTACTTGTTTAAGTTTTAATAAGTGAAAATGTTCTATTAAGTTTGTAATTTCACAATGGTCTTACGGTCTTCTCTAGGTCTTCTAAAGAGTAATAGCTAGACATCGTCTATTGTAGCCAATAGTTAGTTATTATAAAATTTTGATGGCGTTTGGAGTATGGTTGGACTCGAACTTTGCGAGGACTCGCATATATATACTAAGTGCTTGTATGAGAATACACATAGCATTAAGGCTCTAATTTATTCCCGTACTAGGGTTGAAAGATATACGGGAAATAGGTAGTCTATATAACATAAAGTTGACATATTTCATTTTGACTGGGTGCCTTTTCTAATGTGGAGAAAATTAAGGGTTTTTTTAATAGAAAATCTTGGAGCAATCGTATTCGTTTAGAAATAAAATGGCACTGTGCATATATATATATATTATGTTCTCATATGAGCACTGGTTGGAGTTTGCGAGTCGGTTAGATGTTGGAAGTCTTTGAATTCGCACACTTTAGTTCATAGTCCTGACCTTTGTTTAAGACTAGTTCGTTTAAATTATTCTCTATACGTATTTAAACTATAGTAAATTATTTAATTATTAAATAAATCTTACGATATTTACACGATAATATATAATTTGTTTAAATATCCTAGCGAGCTGTAACCAATAATACTTAATTGTATACATTTTTGAAATTGTTAAGGAAAAAGCGTAATGAATATTATCTAGACATTGTTTGATCAATTTCACAATCGAGTAGTTAGGTACTTAATATAAAAATAAATATATCTATTTAGTATAAATTATTTTATCCACGATTAACTTTCCTGGGGGATTGGTACAAGTTTCTTTTGCGTTTGAGATTGAAACGAGACTGCGTTCGACGTTCTGATTGGTTGGTTCATTAGAGCCGGCCAATCGAAGCGCCGAACGCGGTCTCATTTCGATCTCATTAAACGTAAAAGGAACTGGTCCTAAGCCCTCTGTTGATATTTCACTACTTGAGATTGCCAAATTTAACCCTTCCAATTATATCATATTCTTGTTAACTTTGTTACACCTATTTGCATAATTCTTATATCGTTATGGTACGAGGTGGCTGGGAGTGGGGCATGGGATGACGTCACGCACACACACATACATACAACCCGACTCCTTGTAACAGTTACTATTTTGCATTTTGTTATTACAGTCGTGTTGTTCGAATAAAATTTTTAAAAAATCTTTCGAGTATCGTTTCATTTTTAGAGTATATTTTTAAATTTTTATGTGGTTTTGTGATGGTGTTAGTATGTTAATGTGTAAAATGAAACACTACACAGTCTATAGATAACTTTATTACTTAAATTACAATCCTTACAGATTTAAATAATACTTGTATGTAGAGAAACCGTGTCATGTTCGATAGTGTTACGTCTGGTCGTTTTCTAAAGCTTCAGCAGGCGATATGGGCTTAGAGCCGAATGGATACAAGTCAATACTTTGTACATGAGCCCTGACCGAGACCCCGGGAGGAACACCGAAGTAATCCCTTCCTAAATTCCTAATAATCGTAGTACCGGGCTTGTGGCGGTTTATATTGAAGCCTACTCCGAACTCGGGTGTGTTATGATCATGTTCCTCGTGTATTAGTTCGTCGCTTATGTCATTTGGTGTCTGGAAAGGTTTTAGTGGCACATACGGTTTCTTCGTCGGCCTATAAGGTTTGCTGGTCGGTCGGCCCGGGCGGCCCGGTCGGCCCGGTTTGCCTGCAATTGTTCAATAATTTCAAATTTCCTTGTTTAGTATACGATCGGTGCTGTATGTGCTGCGTGCCGTAAGGTGTTGGTGTAATAAAAACCAAATTGGTTGTGAATAATATTTATTGCGTTCAAGCAAATATAATAAATAATATTCGAGTGCATCATCAGGCGTCGCAAGCGGATTGAAACTCGTGATCTTGTGTCACCTGATTACGATCGACTTTTTGGATTTTGGTTTAATTATTATTTTAATAATGTATTTTAATTAAACTTCTAATTTTACTAGTCATCTTATTGGCAACCAAGAATCAAAAGTTTCGACAGAATTTTCTAATTACATGACAACCTACTAGTTGAAAATTCCGTAAAAAGTTTTGATCTAAAAAGTCGATTCAACCACTCGAACCATGCGCCATCCTGGCCGTGTGGGCAAAAGGACCAAGTATGAAAAATGTTGGTCCTTAGCGCCGCGGGCGGAGGCGGCGAATTCGAGTGGGATTATTTATATTACAATTTATAAACAAGATCACTAACATCAATCATTGCCGGTGCTATTCATCACCTGGTCCTTTGGTCGGCTGCGGGGGTCCAAATGGTCCTGTTGGTGATGAGTCTTCGTCTACGAAAGTTCCATCATCAGCTCCTGCGTTTTGGCTGAAGTTTGGTGGTGGGTTGTACTGCGGTTCGCTATTGTCATCAGAACTGGGCTCCGGAGGAGCTGGTCCTGATGCTGGAGCTGTGTTACTAGTTCTGTCTGACTCACTGACTGGGAACGGTGGTGGTTTTACGTGACCAGAGGCGGCTGTGCCATCGGGACCTGAAAATAATATATTATTAACCGCTGTCATTGTTACTGTAGAGTAATTAAGACTAAGATATACGTGGAAGATCGGAAGCTCAAAAGACAAGAAGCTTGCCTCCTAGGTAGGACTAGGACTAAAACCCCTTTGGCTATTTGTAACATAACAGGAGAATGATCTGTGTGACTATGAATTTGGTCGCGCGACTTCCGTGATTAAGAGGATAATATAATATTTCTGCAGCGAATACTGTACCTTTAAAAACATCATCCGAAGAAGCAGCAGGTGGACTTCCAGCGCCATATTTAGAGCCAGCGTTGATAAACTCAGGGTCGTAGGGGCTGGGGATGGTGGGGAAGTACGGCGGAATGTAAGGGTCGTTGCTGTTCTTCACAATACGGTAGCCAATGCCGGGGCCTGCAATGTAGTTTACTGTCCTGTTGGGATGATAACAAAATCGGAATTAGCGTGGTACGAATTACGCGCGGGTACGACTAAAATAAATTAATCGTACCTACCAAAGTGTCAATTTAACAAAGAGTTTGATTGAGAATTTGTAAAATTACCTATTTTAGCTGATCTTAATTAGGAACACATAAGAATAGTAACTTATACTTAGGTACTAAATTCTATAAAGCTTTTTTACACATTGTAAAGACAACTGTCCACAATAGATACCATGAATATGAAACTACTAGCTAACGAAATTGTTTAAGTTACATACCTCTGCACACCCTTGTCATCCAAGAAGGTGTATGATCCTCTGACGTTGCCCTGAGAGTCACTGCTCTCCGTCCTCCGCTGGTCGGGACCCGCCGATATGAACCTGGTATAATAAATAATATAAACAGTAACACGCACAATGTACATTTCTGAATTAAGCCTTGCCTGGCTATTCGCTTCCTGTCTGAATTTATTTAACATATTTTATTTGTTGATGCTTGTGTTTCTAAACATATGATAAAATCGTAGGACAGTGAAAACTGTATATTGATTATTAAAAAAAAGGGTCATGATCTACAATTGATACCGAAGCCAAAAATATGGTTTTTAGTATTTTGTCTGTATGTATGTCCGGGCTGAACTCAAAAAGTACAGCATGTATTTACTAACAGGTCGGGTCAACATATAGGCACCATATTATTACGCTATCACCTACGGAGGAGAAGCTGTGCATGACTATACCACGCAGACAAAGTCACGGGTACAGCTAGTTCTTCATAAATGACACAAATAAATTAAAAAAAAACTGGATGAGTATACCTAGCAGGTACGAAAAAATTATACCTCTACCTCTATTTTTACTAGTGCGTAGGACGAATCAAAGTCGCTACGCGTTCTACAACTGGCTTTAGTTTAATCACCGTCACTGTGCAAATCAAATTGGACCTACCACTTATTAAATTGACCAAAATACAACACTGATTTAGTCTGGGATAAATAACTGTACTGATCAATCCACGAAATTAGTCGCTACAAGAAGATAATTATATTCCGAAAAATAAGTATTCCTTTCTATATTATTGAGTAATCTAAGAATAATGTAGCAGGTAAGTAATACTTCTTCATTTGTTTAAACTACTTACAGTTAAGTTCTCCAACAAAAATGAACAAAAAGTTTACCTATAAGATCCATCCCTTCCTCTTTGCACAGCGGTCCTTCCCCTGGCTTTCGTCTCTCCCCTGACCAGAGGGACCCGATGGAAAGGAGACCCGATAATGCTGGGATTATCAGGATGAGCTGAAGACACGTGGAATCCAGTGTCTCTCCCGGCTATATAGGAGACTTCGTGGCGTTCCCCCACATCATCCACGAAGGAATAATGACCTAGTGAATAGAATATGTTTTATTTTATGCTAAAATTTTAGACTGGAATCAGTGTTTATACCTAAAAGCACCGTGTAACCCGATTGTGAAGCTGTTTGAATGTAATGATTACGATACGAAAATAATTTGTTTTTGTGTTATTAATATTGAAGTCATTAATGATTTGAGAGTATAATTATTCCTCTCTACTATACTATCGAAATCGTGTATTGGTTTAAAACACTCAAACTCAAAAGCATTTATTTCAATTAAACCATAGGTACTTTGGTACTTTTAAAACGTCAACAAATATAAAATAAATAATGTTTCACTGACTGCCCATCAGTGAAACTAGGCGCTCGATCCAAAATGTTGATTCGAGTGGAGAAGAATGAGCAAGAAACTCCATTCGTTACTCTTTTAAAATAGTTTATTTTACAATGCTCTGATAGGAACGTACCTACTAAAAAAAAAAAAAAAAAACAAAACTACGAGAAAGAAAAGCTTAGTCTTATAAGCTATTTCTTTTCCCATTAGACAACATGGTGCATGAAAATCATTAACATATTCAATCCAAACATATACAATCCTTTTCATTTCTAAGTGTCAGTGCATTTTTTTAGTCTACTTCAGTTGTATTTTTTTTAAAGGGGGAAAATCATCGAATGACTTCTCCCGCCTGGGTGAGGCAGAAGGGAGTGTCAGACTCTTACTAACTAAAAGCCACCCCGTTCCTTCTCCCGCACTTCGAGCCGAAGCCCCGGTAACCCGTTAGGTTCTCCGTGATTCTTCAGTTGTATTAGTATGAGAGTCTGATTCTGAATAGTGCCTGTGTGAATAATATCAGGGAAAGCGACTTCGTCTAGTTTTTTTCAATGCAGATAAATGCATTAGTGTAACCTCACTTTTCAGACTTCACTCATTAACTACACAATGATTACCTACTGAAGATTATGCAAATTGTATGCACTTAGGTACAATTTTTTAAAACAAAAGTGTCTGAACAAGTTTCACGTTATTCTTTTTAATTAGGTATTCTTTAAAACATCCTGTTCAAGGCATTTTCTAATGTTTTGTGTTTAGAAGCTAGTCGTGATAATGGAAGCTCATATTAACAAATTACTTCCGACACTAAGGTCATAAGAGATTTGTGTGGTTTACAGATTTGCAGTATTTTTTTTAAACAATAGGAAGTTTCTAGGTAACTGTTAATATAATGTGTGAGAAAAGAAAAGAGTCTAAAAATCTTGTTGGAGCTGCTTTTCGTTATGTAAACTATGTTACAATTTACTGGTTCTTAATTTTGTGGTCAATAATGAAAGACTTTTTTTTAAAGGGGGAAATCATCCAATAACTTCTTCGGCTCGGGTGAGGCTAGAGTGTCAGTCTTTTACTGACTAAACCACCCCGTTCCTACTCCTGCACTTCGAGCCGGAGCCCCGGCAACCCGTTAAGCCTTCTGCGGCTCCGTAACATTAATAAAAACCACAAAAATATTAATATCAACTACTTATGAATAACAAGGTTACTTTTACGAGGTCGCTTTTTATGTATTTTCCCTTCATCGACTATTACGACATCTTCAGCAAGAGCAGGAGTTACCATAGATAAGTGTACTTAACTCTACAGACACCGCATGAACTACAATTACAATGAATGTCATGTATAAGAATAAGAACATTTATTTCACGAAGTATAGTAAATACAGACGATAATAACACAACATAACATCACTTCTTTTATCCATGAAGTGGTAGGTAGGTGTACACATTACGGCACTTATTGCCACTGTACAATGTAACACCCACTTTTCACTATTTATGTTATAAGTCCCATGTAATATGGGGTGAGCCTATTGCCATATACCAGGCACAATTTCAGACTCCGTGCTGCTAGTCAGAATAAACCCGACCCGGGATTCGAACCCTTAAAAAACAAAAAAAAATACCCTTGCCCAGCAGTCTTTTACGACCACTCTGTCAACGAGGCAGTGATAATAATAAAAAAAAATAGTGTCACATATACCGCCCACAGTTTTCGGCATTCAAACTGAAATGTTACAATTAATAAGAACATGCCAAATATATCTTTATGTGTTCCACAAATTGGTCTGGGTGTATAGTCTAGTCTAGTGTATGTGAAACTGTTTGTAACTGTTTGCAAAATCTACACATACCTGTGACATCTCCCCTGCTGTCAGCATTTTCGTTCTTCGTGTAGGTCCTAGTGTCGATCTTGAACGAGTAGCTGGGGTCTTCGTTGGGGTCAAAGTATGGGTCATCCTTGTTACCGATGTTCCCCCGGGGTCGTTGGTCTAGATCTGTTATTCTGTGTACGTTCGGACCTTTCGCGCGGAATCTGTACAGGAAAAGTGTTATGACGGAGAAAACAATAATATCATGATTGAAAATTTATCAGATAATTAATTTAAATAATAATTATACAGTTAGAAAGAAGGATTACAAAAGATACGTTTACTGTTTTATTCTTTCCGGTATTGGTTTTGTGAGCTATTTAAATAAAATATATCAAAGAATAATATCGTAAGCCTAGTAAAGTATTTTGAACCTGATTCTAGCCCCTGATGCACAATTTTCTAACTTTCGCTGTATCATTTAAAATAACAACCATAAATGTTTTAAAGCAAAATCATGTCGTAAAAGCAAATGCGACTGCTAATTCTACAGCTATCAAAATAGAAATCGATACAAATTAAAAAAAAACTCTTTTGGAACAAGCAAATAGCTTACCAGGAAATTAAAAAACAGATAGATAACTCTTAAGCTACATCTGATAAGGATCTAACTTCAACGACAGCAATTAACTTACCCTCTAGGACCAGCAGTGTAAACAGTCTCCTTCACAGTGTCAGTAGCAGGGTCCTTGGCACCGAATCTCCCTCCGACGACTCCATTAGTATTGGCGTGTGCCAAGTGGTAGCTAGCTCCTCGGTCCTTGTTGGCGTACCTACGATCAGATGAATCAGATATCATTCACATAACGACCTCCAAGTCTTTGTCTACAACGATTTGTAGCTAAAAACTTAAACCAACTGACAATAGACTGTTGGAGTATCCTTGGATGCGTTTGATAATTTTTCGTTTTGTTAAAATTAGTTTTTTTTTTTGGTAAAGTTATCGGTGGGATTATTATTCTTATGTTCTCGAGAAAGTGTGAGATGAAAGCTTATAAGTTATTTTGATATTGTAGGTTTAGATTGTTGTTTATCCCAAAAAGGACATTATTAAATAATATTGAAGTGAATATTTATAAGTAATACTATATAACTACAAATTACAAAAATTCTATGATAAACAATTCGATGATTCAAAACCAAATTATTAATTCTGGATAATGTTCAGTTTGTCTCAGTAAAACAAATTGACGACAATAATAACTACTTTTTCACGTTTATAAAAAATACATCTTCATAAAATACGTAAAAAATAAACTAAATTAAAAGAAATTAAAAAGAAGAAAAGATCCACTAAACTAATAAAGATATTCTTAAACCTGTCTCGTTTAAAACAATCTTACAATTCAATAAATCACATATTTAAAAAAGTCTATAAATCAGTCTAAGTAATTACCCAAAATCGAAAGATCCATCAGGATTCACGCTATTGTAATCTCCATCACTGGCGCGCGCCTTTCCCGGTATAACCTGAGTCCTGACTCCACACATACACACTAACAACACACAGCTGTAGGTCCAATACATTTTCACTGATTACTATTTTACTTATTGCATCACACACTATATGTTGATTTGTTCAAATTCGGGGTAACTATGGAGGTAAAAAACGTGCTAGCACTTATATATGGCGGTAAAATTGAGCGTCCCGAGGAGGCTTACCGCGCGAAAACGACCGGACGTCATTGTTATTAATATTAGGCTTGTGGCGTAGTGGAGGCTATGAGTTATAGCTTAGCGACGTATAGCTTACGTGTACAGATCGCCTTTACACATCCTCTATATCTTGTCTGGTCATTTTCTCGTGTTTCAATGTTTAATTTGAATATAGCTAGTCGGGTTTAACGTAATATGATTTTGTGGATGGCACCACTTCTCAAATAGACGACCAGGACCAGGCTAATAAAACTGGTAAATTGGTAAAAAATGGAATTTTATTGATCTTAAATTGAGTAATGATAAAACTGAATCTACCTGCAGGCGGTTCGTTTTTATTACATACTTGCAATTAACGAAATATAGAGGTATTTTACTGTTTTATATACTATACTAACTCTATAAAACGAGATAACAAAATACTTACCCTAACTGTTGCCTACTTCATATAGCTATTGTCTCAGCTTTAATACGGTCAAACAAAAGTTTATAAACGTGAACAAAGGGACCAAATTGCTATATTTACTCAAACATAGCTTGGAGTGTGCTAAATCCTAAACAACTGCAATAACGAGAGGTACAGTAGCCATATCCTCTGCTGCTAACCAGGAACAAATCATTTACGACCATTATAATATCTGCTCAAATTGTAGTAATTATCTTAGAACTATAAAACTGAAGAGAACAGATAAAAACGTTATAATTATGTAGTGTGGGTGTTGTAATTGTATGTTACACGAGAATAATACTTATTTCTTTAATTAATTGTGTGTAAAAGTTATTGAATAATTATAATTAAGCAATGGTTAATGGTTTGTATGTTAAAGCGAAACATGAGTCGATTTACAGGCTGTTGGTTGTTGTTTATACTAGATTTGTTGTCGCGGAGAAACTAACGGGTAACCGGGGTTCCGGCTCGACGTGCAGGAGAAGGAACAGGGTTGGGTTTTAGTCAGTAAGAGTCTGACACTCCCTCCCGCCTCCACCCAGGCGGGAGCAGTCATTTGATGATTTTCCCCCCTTAAAAAAACACTAGATTTATTGAAAGAAAGAAAGAAAAACATTTATTCAGTACCAGACACGATGCAGCATAAATAAAATATAAAAACACAATAAAATATAGTATAACAGTAAAAGTAAGACGAACAGTGAAAAAAAATTAAAACAGAAAAATCAGAAAAGAAACGCTATCATGCCAATACGAAATGGGTTACCCACTCTGTGTATTGATTTCGAGAGCATAAAAGTCATGGAAAAACTTAAATTGAACTGTTAGAGCGACATATTCATTAATAATAATTTGGCGACCCGTGAACTATAAGCTGTTAATATGGGATATGAAAACATTTTAGAGTTTTTATCCCTTTTTTCACTTAGTACAAATGCCATAAATAGCTTTAACTAGACGAAAAAATATCAGTAATGTACGTAATGTAGTTAGGTATCCCAGACTAATATTTCAAAGTCATTCAAACTATTAAACTTACAAACCACACAATGCACTAATGGTCTAATTATCAGTGTAATATAAATTCATAATAGACCATTAAGTTCTTTAACTAACACAACTACAAAAGTAAAACTGAAACAAAAAACTGATTTTTCAGACCAGATTGAGGTCAGTTTTTGATACCCAGAAATGTAATAAGTGTGTACATTAAAATGATTTTAGAACAATGTCCGAAATACTAAAGATAGATTGAAATGTGTCAATCAATGATTTTGAGAAAATAATTGTTGTATTTGGGGTTAGAGATATTAGTTAGATAGTATGAATTTATGCAAATTAGAAGGACAACAATTTAAAATCTAGTTATTTTAAAAGTAATGCAATTAAAAATATTTGAAAAGACAAAATAATTTCGTTTGTAATTATCGGAAACAAATTATTAAAAATAACACAATACTCTACAATTACACCGATAATATAGTACTTAAATACTAAACGTACAAACACATGTGTATCCAGAATAACTGTTGGCATAACCTAAGTTCTCAAGCTTTAAATGTTCTTACAGACTGGCATTCATTCAGACAATAACTCCATCTATGCTAACAATGAACATTATTTACATTTTAGTTAATTAGTGACACTTGCAGACATTATACAGTTACTTATGTGTATATATTTTATTATATTATATATATGTATGTCTTTTAAATCAGATACTGCAATACTTGTAAGATTGGGATGCAATTCCCCGTTGAAAATTTTTTCGTTTCGAGTAAGGCTTCTGAAACTGTTTTAGCATTTTAAAATACGTGATTCTTCTTCCTAATTAAGTGATTAAGGTCAAGTTCTATTATAAAATTAAGTAGAAGTTATATTTTGTAAAATGTGTGCATTTCCTTCTATTCTTCTTTCCCTATAACCGCCAATTTTAGCGCATACCTCAAGGACACATACTGGGACCATCGCCAATGGTCTCTATTCATTATCGACTTAATTAATATTAGCGTCCGGCGTTTGTTTCACTTCCCTGTCCGACGAGCCTTGTGGATGTAGCACAATGCTGTAATAAATGTCTAATTCTGATGAGAGACCTTTGTTAGCTGTGGTTACAATGTAACACGAGATGACGGATAAGATGCTGCGCTTCTTGACGCTACTACGCTTTAGTTGTGTACTAGTTAATTTTGAAAGTAGACCCCAGAGTATGAATTCATAATTAGATTATTATAATGTCTAGTTTATTTGACAATTAGGATTTTATAAAATGAGTTATTTCATTCCCAAATAATACGAGAAAAATGTAGGTAAAGTTGCATATTTTGCACAATGTTCTCATAATACTCGTGTTACAATGCAAACAGTCTCTCCGATGCTCGTTCCGGTGCGATCATCTCGGATTATAGTGTCGAATTGTACTCGCTGACTTGTGAAGCGAACATTTAACTTGACCTCACATGCTACACCTAATTGTTCCAACTACTTTTAATCTCCGCAGCTCAAGTTACACTGGTTTTTATCGTCGCATTTGCATGTGTCCTTCCACCCGTACTATTGTTTTGTGCGATATATAAGTTTGGTTTGCCCCGAAGATTTATAATGATAGGTAGCAGCACAATAGCGATTTGCTGGTCAGTTGCGATAATTAAGGTGGAAGCTTTGGCTTGTTAGTCCATAACAAAGGTACATTTTAAAAAAAGAACCATTATTTATAAATAAATGCGTTGATTTCTATCATATAAATGTTTAACATTTTTTCATCCATTTCTTTTTTAATTAATGTTCTTAATCATTTTTAAAACAAAAAAATTCAAAAATATGAAAATTTTGTAATTTGTTTCAATTGTATGATTTTATAAACAGCTGCAAAATATGAATAGTTTTTTACTCGGAAAATCCAACATTCAAAGCGCGTAGTTAGTTCTCACTTAACCGGATACAATCTTAAGCAGAGATAAACTAGTTACACGTGCATTTAGTTCAATTATACTTTAAATTAAGATAAATGTAATGTCTGATGGTACCCGAATGGTAGACAAAGTAGAACTAAACATATCGCCTTTTAACAACTATGAGTCCTATATAAACGTTTGACCCTAGACTTACAGACCACAGGTCCCCGGGCTATCGCAGACACAGGAGTCAGCCATATCCATTGTTAGGTGAAGGAGAAGGAACAGGGTGGGTTTCAGTCAGTAAGTCTGACACTCCTTCCCGGGCCACTAAAACCGCGAGGAGTCAGTAAATGATTTGCCGTCCATACAAAGTAGAAGAAGAAGAAGTTATACTTACACTTTAAAAATCAAGAGACCCCAATAACACTTTACCAATCCATGAATCGAACTTAGATCTCTTAATCGGCGTCGCGGAGAACCTAACGACCGCGGCTCCGGCTCAACGTGCAGGAGAAGGAACGGGGTGGTTTTAGTCAGTAAGAGTCTGACACTCCCTCCCGCCTCACCCAGGCGGGAGCAATCATTCGATGATTTTCCCCCTTAAAAAAAAGAAAAAAAAACCTCTTAATTGGTACTTACTAGCGAGTGAGGCAATTATAACATTCAACTTCATAAACTTAACGAAAACAATGTATGGTGTTCACACAATGGTCAGTAGCGAGTATGTGGAGTCGTAGAGTATATCATTAATGCATGCACCATCATATTCGGAGCAGTTTGGCAACATCCTTGTGTGCTACCCCCCATTCAATGTTAAATCAAGTGCTGAACGCTCCGGTGATCACTGCGAATCTGATATTGAAATTCTTTTAACCTTTTTTGACCTGGATTTTCTCGTGTTGGATGATTTAGGAAAAGCCTTTTAAATGAAGATGTAATGAAAATTGATTGAAATTTTTTTGTTGCATTCTGGGATGAAATTAGTCAGACGCTATAAAATATACTTTGTGTAAGAATTGTTTTAGAATTAACTGTCTCTGGTCAATTCTTTATTCCCTATCATAGTTATGTATTTTTCAGTCGAATTGTTACACTACCATAACAAAATGTGTGAGTACCATTGACTAGCTACCTTTTCCATTATTATTTCCTGCAATTATAATTTTGAACGCTTATAGAAGGAAATAAGGAATATTTGAATATTAGTTTCTCAGTCAGCGTATTTCCTCCATTCATTATAATTTTCTATTCGAACAGAATATTCGTCTACACATGCCCCATGGTTTTACACTGTCTTGAATTATAGTCTGATTTCGATTATTATAAGAATTATTGTTTAAATTGTGCCTGATGTTATTTGTGTCGTCAGCAGTGGCTGATATGATGATAATAAAAAATTTCCTGTATGATATTACATCGCCAAATATAGGTCTTCTCTAATGACTTCCAGATGACTAGCCTTTTACACCATCAAAAATATTAATGTTATAAGTACTCTCCTTACTTTAGTATTCATTTTGACAGCT